GAGATGGTAGGGGAGAGTGGGGCTAGTTGCATCGGGGGTAAGTTGAATCAGTCCGTGTTTATCCAACGTATTGAAATTGGGTGAAAATTTAAATATTAGCACGTTTTTAGCATAATTTCATGTTTTTTTGGCATAATTTCATGTTTTGAAAAACAAAAAAAATATCCCAGGAGGAATATTTTTTTTTCTTAAAATGTTGGGCAATCTCACACATCATCTCGTACATGTATCATCTCGTACACATAATGGTAACATGTAATAATTTCACTGCTACCGGGTGTGCGATATGCAGCTTCGTCGCCGCAAGAAACTGAGAATTGACCAATGTTGCTCTATTTGAGAGAACAGGCACCTTATTGGACAGAATTGAGGACCAAGCTTTCTTCTTAAGTAACAGTTCACGCTACTATAGGAACACCTTAACAAGAATATTACTTTTAGATGTTCCACTTGTGTATAACCAACTTTTTACTTTTTTTTGTTAATGCCCTATTAAAAAAAATTCGTAGGCTAAAATAGCCAAAAACTAGGTTTATATCACTACAGCAGTGCATTTAGTTCTGGACCGTTATTCAAGACAGTAAAAAATATTATGGGTTTTAAGATAGGCATATCATGCTAAACTAGTGTACAGATATAAACATTATTAAAAGCAACGGCGGCGGAAATGTTGATTGATGTCTGTAACGTTTCGGGGGGGCGGTGGCATGGGTCATTGGCCTACCCACTTTTTCTACTAGGAGGGGACCTGCCGCCCCCCACTTTTGTAACTGTTCCCAGAACCAGTGACACACATGTTACGAACGCTGCAATGTCATTATTATTATTATTATTATTATTATTATTATTATTATTATTATTATTATTATTATTATTATTATTATTATTATTATTATTATTATTATTACTATTACTATTAGTATTATTATTATCATTTCGTGCTTTCACCTTGTTTATTTGCGCCTTATAAATTGTCCTATTATTATTACTATTATTATAAGTATAGATTTTTTTTTTCATTTTCTAACGAACATTACAATTTCCCTTTTTGAGTTGAGCAACCAAATGTTGATTGATGTCTGTAACGTTTCTTTGAAAAACCCACCCTCGAGCATTGAAGAAAAAATCACCAGCATTCGTGAATTCTGTATTTAGGTACCGTATATGGGGGGAGGTAGATTTTTTTTTCAAGATTATAAAATGTATTCAACTTTTAATTTTAGAGTGCCATTTCCGGCCATCTAGAGGTGCCATAATCATAATTTTTCTTACCTCAACCCAACCAATTGTGGGGCTGAGGCGGGTGGACATTCTATTTACGCAAGACTCTCCCTGAACCCCTCTATTTTGACTTCCTGGACCCGCCACAGTTGGACTATCATTTCGGAGCTGCATAGAATGGTAACTTTTATTCATCGGGGAAAAAGTGAAGTTTTCCCATATCAAGGATAACCCTCATATTAAATAATTCATTGAGCTCGTGGAAGCAAGGTAATTCAACAGAAGGACGCACATCTCTGCTTTCGAACATAGTCCAGATGCTCGCTTCGCTCGCATTTTCGAAATTATGAAATTCCCCCACCCCCACTTTCAAAAACGTTCTGCCGCCGTTGAATAAAAGCTTGTTAAAAACCAAAGTACCTGTATTTTTTGTTTCACAGTTATAATGAATATGCACTCATACAGTACTTAAATGGTTCAATGATGTGACTCTTTTAGATAGTTTATATTTTATGACATATGTAAAAAATTACAAACCGTTCAATAAAAGACAGTGCTCCAGAGCCAAAAATATTCATAGGCCATAAAGTCTTGGGCGTATGCTGAGTGTGGTGCAATCACATACCCTTAAATTGTATTTAAAAAAACAAATATATGCCTATATTATTTGTAAGGCCTGTTGTATAGGCCTATAGACAGCAAAACAAAACAAAACAAAAAACAAAAAACAAATCCCGGCCGACCCCCATTCCCAAAAATCATCTTATGCTTGGGCGGCAATACTGTATAATTATAGATTTTTTTCAACCTTTATGGGGGTGTATATTTAGCGTGAGTAGGCCTGCATTTAAATTTTTATCGCTTGCAACGCCGGCTCTAGTATTCTTATTGTATCTCTATGGATTCTGTGATTAGACCGAGTTAATATACTTTCTCAACAAAGAGGCATATTTTAAGCACGCAAGTAAATTTTTGCCAGGTTAAACATTTTGATTTTGAAGCTAGATGATACCCATTAAACGAAGGCCATTTTTGTAAATGTTGAGTCGTTTTATTTAGGTAAACTGTGGATGAAGCATTTCCTAGGTCTAAGCTTAACATTTTCAGAGATACCCAAAAGAAAGACTTGTGTGACGATGGGGGCAACTTGCATCACGTGGTGCAACTCCCCCCCCCATCATAGTGTAGTTTGCATAGCTGCTGACTGACCCTCAAACATATATTCAAATTGCATTTATTTAGTATTAAGTTATATTTAATATATATGCCTCCTTGCTGCAATGAATTTTTGTTTACTGATTATAGCTACAAACCTAAAGAACATTCAAAAACAAAAGTAGTGTATATATATTGTACTTCTGATAGGGTTTTATTTTCTCATATATAATTTGAATATGCCATTACTGTACTGCTGTATGTTTATTTTAATTATTAATTTCAACCATCTTTAAAGAGGGTAACCCTTCCAGTTTAGCCCAGTAGGTTAACTGATATTCAGGGGCCCTCTTTAATGAAATTAAAGAACAGTATAAATAACATCATTACAACATAATAATAATAATAATAATAATAATAATAATAATAATGATATACAATCCTCATAACAAGTCTTAAAAATATTAAATTGACTTACATAAAGACAATTCAAAATAGAAGTTTAATTTATAATGCCTATTAATATAATGTAATATAATATAGTATAATATAGAATAAAATCAAACAACGTAATAATAAGCAAGTTGCGTAGCAAAAGTGGGTTTTCAACATGGGTTTTATGAAAGCATCAAGAATTTTGTATTAGAAGTTGGGAATGGTAATATTCATGTATGATTGTTTTTCCATTAGTATTAGAATTAAAGTTTTCATTTAATTACACGGAACTGCTTGTATTTTATGTTCCCCTTACATGATTCAACTTGCCCCATCACTGGGGTAAGTTAAATCGGTGGACCATCATTTTTAAATTGATTGCCACACCTTTATTGGTAGGCATTTACCTATAATATTATATGAATTACACACTGACATGTCAATGAACATTAATCAATATTACTTTATTTAATTCATGTAATCTCTTGTAACTTGTGGGAAAAAAACTAAAAAGTGATGCAACTAGTCCCACTCTCCCCTAAATGTCTAATTCATATACTTTAAAAAAAATGGTACTAAGCTTAATGTAATTTAAACTAAAATGTTATTATTTTAGTTTAGTATTATTTATTAATACAACAGTATGTTGTATTTTTAATATAATCCTAAATGCTAAATATTTCAAAATAAAATAGAAAACTTTAATCGAAACTAAAGCAATTATAGTATATTTAAGATAGTAGAAATTATTTTGAAAATTTGTTTTGTATTTAAAAAAAAAACATTAGGCCTAGTTCAAATAATCAAAACTAGACACAAAGACCAGAATTAAAATATTATTTTTTTTAAGTATAGTAGTATTCATTTACTGTAATACAACAATATGTTGTATTTTTAATATAGGCCCTAGTCTTAAAGGATAAATATTTCTTAATAAAACAGAAAAATAAAACTTCAATCGATAACTCAAGAAATTATATTACTGTATATACGAAATAGTACAAATTATTTTGAAAATTCGTTTTAGTATTCAAAAAAGATAACTATATGATTAGAATAAAATTAATGGATTCTAAAACAGTTTATTACAAAATTATAAAAATAAGTTACTCAATTATGAGTAATCTCATTGCGAAAATTACTGTTCAGCATTTCTCGCTGTTCTTCGTTCTGATCCCATTTGCTAAGGACGTAGAGAAGTTTTGCCAGTGCAGCCTCAGATGTAATATCTCTCCCTGGAATTACACCGGCATCTAGCAAAACCTAGGTGAAAAAAGTACAATTACGTAACGTAAATTTAAAAAAAAAAAAAAAAACGATAATTGAATCAATTCAATTAGTGATCTGCCTTTAGCAGATTCATAGCAACCACTTCCGCCACCTTTCACGGTCTTGCACTTCCTATATTTACACCTGAGTTATGAGCTTTCGTGTTGCAGTCTCTCCGGGAATGCACTTCTTTCGACCTCTGGTTCTAGAATCTGGTTTCTGTGCGTTAAAAATGTAATTTGTCTTCATATTGTGGTCTTTGGTCGAAATTTAACAATCACGACTTTTACTAGGATGCCTTAACTCTACTTTTTCCCTCAACATTTTTGTGATAATAAACACCTTTAAATGGCAACTACAATCTTATGGACATAAACATAGTAATTAGAAATTAGGCCTGATGATAACTTACTTTTCCAGTTCCATAGTCACTTGAAACAACTCCTTTTACACACTGCGTACAGTTTAGAATCAGCACGCCGCCAACAATTGCTTTTTTCAATTCATTTAAAATGCTAGGCTCATCTGTATTAGTAGGAGCATTTCCTGCTCCATAGGTCTCTAGGACTACGCCTTTCATGTAGGTGTTCTTTTGATTCTTCGGTTGTATGAAATTTCGCACCTAAATTAACAAAATCAACGAAAAAGAACGAAAATTTTCGAAATATGTCGGGCTTAAGCCTCATTCACATTGAATTCAAAGTTTCGAAACAGAATGCCTACCGAACCGATCAGAAAATCAGATCAGTGTGTAAATAGAGACGGTGATGTTCAGCGAATCGAAAACGCGGTCGGAATTTCGGTTCGAACCCGATGTGAATTCAGCTTTGGGGATGTCGCGGAAATTAAATAACATTGTAGATTATAAAAGTTGGAGCCGTATTAGCCAGTAACAGGAAATACAAATAAAATAAGTACGATACATACTGTAGTAGTGTATTGCCTCATTTACATATTTTGAATGATAAACAATAAAAATATAAGTTAAGAAATACTGTAAAAGTAAAAATGATAACATCTGCAATTATACTCACTGTTTCCACAGTGATTCCAGGAAAGAGCTTCAATATGCCAACATGATCGTCTTTGAACGTGAAAACGTTTTGTTTGAGATGTTGCTGGTCAGGTCTTGGCCTATCCCCTAAAATCATTTATTACGATGTTATTACAAGCAGTATTCGTTATTAAATAGTCTTTTGCATCTTTGCATCTTTTGCATAATTAAAAACTACGGTACATTTTTATAGATTTATAATCTTCACCTTAGACACACGCTGATTTTAATGGCACCATGTGTATTCATGATTATAATCGAAAGTCACTAATAATATTTCTGGCAAATTTTAGCTAACTCTGAAAATCCTAATGAACTATTTCATAATTACTGTACCAGCTTTCATGGATTTCAAATTTTACTACAGTTTGATGATAAAATTGAAAAGCATGGAGATTTGCTATGCCAAGGGTATGGCAAATCATTAGGCAAACGCATTTCTTACTCCCTATTAATAATATTGCTGGTTGTATGGACATCAAACTAAACGTTGTATTAGTATAATTAACAAGGCTTTTAATTGCACCAAACATATACTGTAACTAAAATGGGTCTCTTTAGATCGTATTCAATTGTGGGGTGGGGGGAAACTTTAGAATGTTGATATCTCGTTTCAACATGAATACCAATCTGGTAATAGATAGCTGGAATAAAATCAACTCTCATGAGGGATAACTTTGCATATATCTCAGTGCATACCTGTGTACCTGTTAGTTAAATCTGTTGCAAATTTATATTTTTTCGTATTTTGTTAGCTTAGCTGTTTGTGCTTATGTTTTGAATTTATTTTTAACTGTTCATTTTGAAGTGCGAGTAAAAAAAAATAAACTAAAAAACAAAAACAAAAGAAAAAAAAACAAAAACAAAAAAACAACATTAAGTACTGTAAATTAAAACATAAACATGAATACCAATCTGGTAATAGTGGAATAAAATCATTAACTCTCATGAGGGATAACTTTGCATATATCTCAGTGCATACCTGTGTACCTGTTAGTTAAATCTGTTGCAAATTTATATTTTTTCGTATTTTGTTGTATTGTGTTTTTTGAATTAGCTTAGCTGTTTGTGCTTATGTTTTGAATTTATTTTTAACTGTTCATTTTGAAGTCCGAATAAAAAAAATAAACTAAAAAAAAAAAATAAAAAAAAAAAGTACTGTAAATTAAATGCGACTTTACATTGTAACTATGCTTTTTAGAAATAAATCAATTGATTAAGTGTATAACAGTAACTACAGCAAAAAAAAAAAAATAAAAATAACAGTTTTGTAATGACAATAGCAACAATATGCCATGATAAAGGTATTGTCATTACGAGTTAAATACAATGAAAATTTATCTCTTATCAATGAATCTATGGTCGGGAGCAGAGCTCTGACCTAGTGGTGTGTTGAGACGAATTGAAGCTCTTTTGCCAAGTTTATTGAGAGTTGAAAACTCAATCAATCAATCAATCAATCAATCAGACGTAAATAATCAATCACTTTTTAATTTAGGCCTAACCAATTTAGTGGCAGATCCAGCTGGCCGTACAGTCCCGCCGAAAAATAAAGTAGAAAAAAAGTAGCGAGAAGAGGAAAAGGGAGGAAAGATTTAAATAGTGGGCGAGTGGGGAACTCGATTATTTTACCACGAATTTTGATTTTTCTTTTGATTGACAACGAACACAAAGCTATGCCCTCGACAATTTCACAAGTCAGGATGTCAAAAAGGAACAAAAGACGGGGCCACAAAACATGTTCTTTTCAGCCATTAATTTATTAGGGTATGGTGGTAGTAGTAGACAAAGCTAGAAAAGCTATCTATGCTTAAAAATGTCAGTTCAAAATTTGGTACTTTTTTCCCTATATATGTTCTCTTATTACACATTTAATAATACATGTGAACCAAGTGGTTGACCTGGTCCCAGAGTACACCTCTCAAAAATCCTCTCCTCGGACGTTGAGTTCTAAGTTTAGAGCCTTGCGCCTCCTTGCATAGAATAGACTACAGATGGGTCCTCGATTAGACCTATGACGACCCTGATGATGGGAGAGGTGTCTAGGAGAGAGGGAGAGAGGGAGCAAACTCCCGTCGGGAAGAGCACTGCTTTGAAAAAAAAAAACCCAACATGTTTACTGTCTGAGAGTGCCATTTCCGAGTATCTAGGAGCCTATTCTTAAAATTTGCCCAACCTCATTGTCGACTGCCTATTGTGCCACCCCTTACCCACCCCGGCACAAGATTTCTGTATACGCCCATGTAATTAACGAGTCAATTTACCAATCAAACAATCAAAACATTAACAACCACATAAATCTACCATTAATCCGCCCAAATTTTGAAAATGAATATTCTCACATACATAACATTCCTATTTTATCGACTTCCAGAAAAGGTTCAATGTTCGGCGAACAAAATGCGTCCATTTTGTTGTTCACAAACTTTATGACACGATTTCCTTGGAATATCTTCTTGTCAAAAAACAAGGTTACCTAAAAAAAAAAAAAAAAAAAAAAAAAATTACAATGTTCTGTGCTATAACACCATACTGTTTATACACATTACTGAAAGTTCAATTGTTTCTGTAACGTGGATGGAAGGTAGATTTGTTGTAGGTGGTAGAAATTGGAGAAGACCAACCGAGGACGTTTCCTTTCCTATTGAGAGGTCCAGCAATGGTGGCGCCAGTGCAGGGGATATCCCGTCCGGATACCATGGACCCACCGTCGGGGAAGAAGCCAATCATCTGTGAACACTGCTTTGAAAAAGCATTTTTACAGACTGTGAGCGCCATAGAGGTGCCTATTCTTAAAATTTGCTTCAAACATGGTGAGGCTTACGTTGATTTGAAGCCCCTGTCAGGGATCTTAGAGTATCCGACCAGTTATTCGAAATCCAGTTTGCCAAACCCAGTTTGCTGAATCCTGCCGTCACCGTCGTACATAAGTGCAGCATACTTTGTTTTTGAAAAATGATGTGTGGGTCATGAAGGAGCTGTATTTATACATTTTAAAAGGCAAAATAATGGAAAACAACAATTCTGTGGGAAAAACACAGCATTTGAAGGCATAGCTATCAGTTAAAATTAGAAAAAAAATAAAAGCTCAAGCATCGTATCCCCCTAAAAAAAAAAAACTCTCCCTGCGAACCCTATCAGGGATTTTTATGCCATGGCCTTGACCGAGGCTCTTGTTGGCCCCTTGATTCAGACCCCCTTTCGGCAAATGTTTGGAGCTGGCATGTATGTAAAATTGTAGATTATCATTAGTTTATGAATTTCCTATGGAAGCACCTAAGTGCCATTCGACTTGACGACTTGTCAAGTTAATTATGTTGTCAAGTTGACATAATATACATATCATGTCTACATGGCAAGATAGATTATCTTGACAAGTCGACATACTAAAAATGACAAAAGAAAATCGCTGGGAACCACATCACACGTTTGACTCAATATTAGGAACTTTCTCCCGGTGCACTAAATTAATCCAATGGCATTCCAAATTTAATCTATAAATTTGATTTATTCATTGAGGCGTTCCTCTAAAGTTTAGTTTTGGTTTTCTTGTTCACTCTTTGTTAATGCTGTTCATGCAATCTCACTGCCACTTATCTCTAGCCCTATTTTACCTAGCCAATATTGTTAAAACCATTCTTGTCTTGATATAATTATGAAGATTCATACGTAGTGACTTCTGAATTAAATATATAATTTTAAAAACGTCTACACTACAAATTGTTTCACTCACCAGAGCGCTTTCATCTGAAGATGGTTGGTTCGGCGAAAGCGCTCTGGTGATTGAAAAAAATTTGTAGTGTAGAAGTTTTTAAAACTGTTTATTTTATCCATGCCTTTTCTACTATCACTCGCTCGCCAATGATTAAATATTAGCAGTGGTGGTGCCAGGATTTGCCCGACGGAGGGTCTGAGGTCCCAACAAATAAATGTGAGCGTGGTCGAGTGTCACCCAAAATCTCTTGAAAGTGTTCCATGGGGGTGAAGCCCCCAAAAATATGAAAATTTGGGGGTTTCAAAGGCTTATTTATTTGATTTTGGCGTCTACTAAGATGTAGAAAATACACATACATTTTTTTCTCCCCGACGAATTATGGTTTTTCTCCACGACAGGGTGAGGGGAAGCTCTCAACGACAGAGGGCTCCCCGGGCCACCCCTGAAGACTAGTGTTGTCCAAAAGCTCTGGTTCTATTTCTGGCTGTTTACTTACGTTTACTTTTTAGTTGTTGCTTATCAAATGTATTTCTATAGCGATCCAGCAATTATTTACCACAGCGTTGTTGTTTTTCAATGTTTTACCTTTTATTCTGTTACCTTCTAATTCATTGACCTTAAATATAATTATATAGGCCTACCTCATATATAGCACAGTAAAACATTGATGCAAAAATAAGGTAATAATGTAACATACGGGAGAGCATAGGTGTTTCTGTTTCCGGTTCGTTGTTGATACCACTCGGTGTACTCTGCATCGTTGAAATCTGGGAGTTTTGAGACACGTCCGAAAAAATCTGGTTGTGGTACTAAGACTTTTGTGCCTAAATAGAAGAGTGTAAATGTTTTAGTACAGGCTTATTTCATTATATTAATATCCCGGTATAAATTAATCAGTTTCTGTATGAACTGGTTTCAGATGCTCTATAGCTACGGTCGGCAACCCATGGAGAGGACTTGGTGGTTTGGGTGCGTACCCATCTTTTAAATGGGTCTTTGGGTCTAGGGCACCCAAAAAGCACTTGGTGTACTTGATGTATTTATGTAAATAATAATTTTTATTTTACGATATGGTGAACTAAGTTTTCATAAAATTACTTCATAACAACGCATTATATTTGTCACGTTCAACGTAGGTTCGTATTTCACGCATTATTTTGATGCATACCGGTATGCACTATTTGGATGCTAATTTATTTTAACATGTTGGCCATTAATCGTCTCGTTAGTAATTTTAGTTTTTTCAGGGGGTCAGCCTTGTATATGAATGTTGTGAATGTTGCGTCTGCCCTCTGTGTATGTACTCACTGTACCGGAATCGTATATATTTTTCGTCCTTATTATAATTACATTTGATCATCATAAAATTTAGCAGACTGTTGATTTTGTGTGGCTGTCGTATGATGCAAAAATACAACTGTCTGAATATAGTGTTGCAAACCAGAAAACAGATTCCTTGTACACAAACAAAACAAACCACATTGATCACACATGCCGTAGCCAAAATTATTTTTACCTTCTTTTTTATGTTTGTTTTAATTGTTGTTATGCCTGATAAATAAAAATAATTCAATTCAGCTGTATCAAGAAAAACACTGTCAACCACACAGGGACGTAGCCAGGATTTTCAAAGGGGGGCAGGATGGGTTCGGGTTGATTGTCCCTCTACCTACGCCAAGGACCTCTGGTGGGGTCTAGGAGCAAAGACCCCTGGCAGGTAGCGCATTCTCAGACGTTTTAAGACTGTTTTGAGGGTATAAAGTGAAAATTGCATTAGACACGTCATAAATAATATTAGTAGGTCTAACAAAAATTATAATAACTCAACAGTGGCGGATCCAGGAATTCGAAAGAGAGGTGGCCCAGAGAGGGACTTTCACAGATACAGGACCGACCCACCTTCCATGGCCGGGGCTGAGACGCAAAAAATTGAGGAAATAGTACCTCTAGATGGCCGGAAATTACACCTTTATATAGTAAAATTTATCATCATATCACCATTATATAGTCAAAATAAAGCACCAACAAACAGTGCCAGCACTACAGGGGAGAGAGGAGGGAAAACCACAATGCTTCGGGGAGAAAAAAAAAATTATATGTATTTTACCTGGACCCCCGTCGGGAAAATCCTGGCGCCGCCACTGCCAACAAATTCTTCATGATCATTTATCAAGGGATTTTCAGCAATCATAGAGATCTAATTAACATGTGTGGTGTTTTATAGAAAATAAAACTTCAAAACATTGCCTTTGATGTATTTACTTTACATTACTTCGAAGCTGTAGTCCACAACCACCTCAGCCCCACCTTGGTTGGGGTTGAGGTGAGAAAATTTGAGAAAATAGAATTATCTTTTGTCACCATCATTATCGTCATCATCGTTATTATTAGTACTACTATTATTAAATAAAACTTTATAAAAGCTTGCAAAAAGGTAAAAAAACAAAACTGAACCATACATTATCACATTTCCGATATCTTAAAAAACCCAGCCTGGGATTTATGGATTTAAGACCAATTTAAACTGATTTTTTTGATAGATCCTCCCCCTAAACGGTAAAGCCGTTTTATATACAGTGGCGTATCTAGTTGGTGCGCGGGGGAACGCCCTTCCTAAAATTACAAACATATTACATAGTAGGATCCATTAAAAAAATTTACAGCATTTAAATCACAACCAAACTCCGTGTTTTTGTTTTGTTTAATTTTTAAAAATTTGTAATCACATAAAGGTAACACGTTGTCTTCGGAGTTAACTATCACTATCACATAGCGTAGGTCAGCAAAATGAGATATAACAAACCATGTTCTATTTGTATCTATAATTTGCGTAAACAATTCATGCTTAGGCCTATGTGTTATAATTATAGTATTATATGTATAACGTGTGCTGATGCATTTTACATATTTTAGAAGTAATTTTGAGTGATTCCATGAAAATTTTTTTATTGGTTAGCAAAACAATATTTGAAATACTGACACTGTGTACAAAGGGCGGGGGGGGGGAGGGGGAGAGGGCCTAGGCTCACACGGCTCTTCTCCCCCCGGATACGTCCCCGCAACCCCGTTAAGGGCTCACCTTCGGGACCGAAAAGTGTGCCCTTAATAACAGTGATTCCTGAACAAGAGTTGGCGGTAGTGTTAAAGTATATACTTTTCCTCATTTCGTGGCTGACAAAGTGTCCCTTAATAGGGGTGTCCCAAAGGAAAGAATCTATTGTATACTGTAAGAGTGCCATTTAGGCTTCTTTTTTGTAGAGGTGGTATGTCATTGAAAGTCAAATTAAGGCAACTTAACAAATGTGTCATGGAAATGACGGGTGTTGGAATGTTTTTTGGGCATTAAGAGATAAAAGGTTGACGACCGTAGTTCTATAGCGATAATTGGATAATGTCGATTTGATGTCAACTGCTTTAAGTGCAGATGAGCTTGTCGTTTGTCCTTATTACTAGACTAAGACACGTGTTCGTAAGGCACTATAATAATTTTTTAAAGCTTTTTATTCTAGATATTAGGATTATAATTAAACAATTAGATAATTTTTTAAACTTAGTTGAATCAGAGAACAAGACACTGTTTAGGAAAACCTGGTGAATTCATTTTACGTAGATGTTTAAATAAAGTAAAGAAACACTTAATTACAGAGGTAAAATTCATAACTTTATGCAGTATTGATTGGTTAAATATTTTGGATATTTGTGCATAATAAACCTGTAAATATGGATAATTTTTTTCATTCCTGATGATGAAATAA